TTGTCCCGCTGGCGGATTTGAACCTTCGACCTACTGTAGGACAACAGCGCCATCCTACTACGCCATGCCTGTCGATGGCAATAAAATGGAGAAGTTAAAAAAAAAAGAAAGGAAACAGAATAGACACAAAAACAAATCAGAGGGAATCCATTACATGACAGAAATAGCTTACATTGAGCTCAGACATAAGCACTTCGAGCTGCTGCATAAGTTGCCGCCGTGTTTGTTGCATGACACGCATTTTATCTTCCAGCTGCGCCTTCCGTTCACGTAAACCATCCAGTTGCTCATCCGTATTTTCCAGCTCCTGAACGACGGCACAATTTTGTTTGGACCAAAACTGAACTTTATTTTTCATCAGAAAGAATAAAGAAGGGTGTTTTTTGCATTCACGGACCAGTTATAGAACAACAACCTGTTGCTGCTTGAGCATTTCCATTTCTCGCATCATTTCGCCATTTTCCTCCTCAAGCCGTGCTATTAGTGTCCTCTCGTTCACGTTTTCCTCCACGTTTGCTGATCGGTCTTTCGGCAGTACAGATGGGTACTAAAATGGCCAACAATTGCGCATGCATTGGTTAAACATGTTTTTAAAACTAAGAAGATAAAATAATCCTTGTTTTGCAATTATTCTGTTCATCTAGTCAAAACTGATTTCTGTTTTTTTTTTCTTTTTTTTTTCAAAATTTGTGTTCGCTTCAATTATTTGCGAATAAGACTCGAAGGCAAAGTACCACTACCCCCGTGCGAAATGATAAAGGATTCCGTCTTGGGACAACCACTTTAATAAAATTCGTTCATTCGTTTCGACATTAAACGAGTGCTGCTGAATGCCGGTACCAGTGAGCCTCTTGCCGTACCTGTGTTCGACCAGAAAGCTTTGCAGAATATCGTGCAATCAGCTTATGCTCGTCATCCATAGTGCACCCATTTACTGGATACTGCCCGGGCAGCATCTGGCTTGTCCAATCATTCATCACTTCGCTGGGTCGTCGTCTGCTTGTTGTCGGCGTCATCGGCACGATGTTGGCCAGATCGAGAGGGCGCTCCGGTCGTTCAGGAAATATTGGATGCGTGCTGCGATTGGGCATCGGCACACAGCGCAATGACTTGTGAATGGAATGCGCCAACTGCTTTGTTGGTGATTTCTACAAATAACACAGCTTTATAGAAATTTGATATTTTCCGGACAACAGAAAAAAAAACTAAAATGAATCTGACGACTCAATCTTACCACTTTTTTTACTTTGGCTAGTTTTTACCCCCAAAATTTGCCCTCTCCCTTGAATCTGTTCACACTTAAAAGATTTCTTCTTTTTTTTTTAACCGACAGGTCCATTTTGCTGTATTCCATAGCATGAAAAGCCCCGGTGCTTTCTTCTTTGGAATTTTACCTTCTTTCAAAAGTTTTGTGACCCATGCTAAATATTCATTCAAAAGTAGTAAACAAACATTATACATTCACTCTTTCTTCATGTTGTTTCTGTTAATACACCTCCAATCAATATGTTTACAGCACAATAACATTTGTGTGGTCGGAATGACGAAAAATGTACTAACATAACTGGAATATTCCTTCATTTCATGCTCATTGGAATGTGTTGAGCTCGTTCGACCACGCCAAAAGCACTGCTCACATAGCTGGTAATTTGTACAACGTTGGCATTTGTAACGGAAACCAGTGAATGACCGGACCTGTACATCAAACCACTAAACTTTTAATGAATTTTAAAATTTTAGCTTTATTTCGGGAGAGAAAAAGATAGGGTAAAAAAGCCTGGCATAGCTGCACCAGGTGAGAAGGTGCATTTTTATACTGATAATCCAGGAAATTTTGGTAATTTTGCCTTGCTTACAAAATTTCGCCAGAAAAAACCCGTAAATTTCTAATGTCTTTACAGCCAAATATGCTCAAGCGTTTACAAAAAAAGGAAGCTTTAATTCGACGCTGTAGGGGAAGTACCTGACAAGCGTCACAAACAACAGGATGACAGACGTGTTCAACACTGGCCATTCGATGCAACAATGGCAGCCACATTAGACATGGTGGGCACGGATCGGCCAGCATCACATCCAAAAATGTGTTCAAATTTACCCGTTGATGCTGAAAAAATCTCAAATGGAAAAATAATTTAAAAGGTTTTGGCAAGCCCAAACAACTTGATGACACCCATCATTTTCCAGAGAACTGAAGAAATTCAACGCCATGGAAACTGATCAACATCACTTCTACAGCAAGCACAATTCCGAAACATTTCGCCGCAATTCGCTGATTAAAATACAGGCACACACACACACACACACACACACACACACACACACA